AAGCCCTGTAGCTGAGCACGGTCATTTGAGAGTTGTGGGAAACCAAATTCTTGGTCAGCACAACCAATCTGTGCAGCTTCGCGGCATGTCACTGTTTTGGTCACAGTGGGGAGGAGCATACTGGAATGAGGAGACGCTTAGATGGCTTCGGAGGGACTGGGGTATTGAGCTAATTCGAGCTGCCATGGGAGTGGAACAAGGCGGATACCTCCTTCATCCCAAACGGGAGATGCGAAAGGTGAAGCAAGTGGTGTGGGCTGCTTTCGAGCTAGGCATCTATGTCATCGTTGATTGGCATGACCACCATGCCGTCAAACACACGGAGCAAGCCAAGGTGTTCTTCCGTGAAATTGCTAAGAGCTACGGCCACTTGCCGAATGTTCTTTTCGAGACTTTCAATGAACCTACTTGGCAGAGCTGGAGTAAGGATTTGAAGCCCTACCATGAGGAACTCTTGAAGGTCATTCGGCCACATTCGTCAAACCTGGTGATTTGCGGTACTCCGACCTGGTCGCAAGATGTGGACGTGGCGTCCCGCTTGCCGGTCGAAGGCGAGAACATCGCATATACCTTGCATTTTTACGCCGCGACACATGGGCAATATCTCAGAGATAAAGCCAAGATTGCCCTGGATGGTGGGGTCGCTTTGTTCGTCTCGGAGTGGGGCACGTGTGAGGCCAATGGTAATGGCAAGTTGGACTTGAGAGAATCCCAAAAATGGATGGATTTTATGGACGAGTACAATCTGTCAGATGCGAATTGGGCTGTCAATGACAAGCGGGAATCTTGCTCAGCACTCAAACCCAGAGCCGCTGGAAATGGCCGTTGGCCGCTTTCCAAGTTGACCCGCTCTGGAAGATGGGTTAGACACAATTTGCGGGTCGCTGCTTTTGGAGTGGACAATGACACTGCAAATTCAACAAACTCAAGCGAAGAAGACTCCCTCATTACCACCTCCGTGCCGGATAGACGGTTACATTTTTCAGATCTTCCAATAGATGCAGGAGTGAGATGCCAGGCATTTGCTATGATTGGGTTGGGGCTATTGCAAGTTCTGTGACTCATCTGAAGGTGCTATCACAGGTTTTCAGGTAGGGACCAAGCTGCAACATAGCGCTGCCCCTAGGGCACCACTAGATTTTCTAGCCTTTCTCCGTAGGCTCAAGAAATGCCACTCTGTTGAATTCGCTTGCCTTTTTCGATAATTCTGTGCTTGCTGAAGGAATGCCTTGCTTCAGCACGCTAGCGTTTGAAAAAAATCAGATTCAGAGTTGGCAGTATCCCGAGCAGCATCTCCTAAGCATGAGATTTGCCTAATGTCACTGTGCATGAAAGACGCCCTCATTCGAGGAATTGTCAGTCTAGTTCAATACAGTGCAGACTTGCTTCGCGATGAGTTTCCACAAGTTCTGTATGAACCTAAGGCCGCATGAAACTCTTCAAACTTGGATAGTTCTGTTGTTTGACTCGAACCTGTCTAGAAACATGGCTTTTTTGTGGTGCTGCATGAATTGATGTGAAGTTCCATGCGGGCCGATAGCTGCCCAGTCCTTTGCAACCCCGGCATAGCCTTTTGAATGTCACTCTTTCCAAGTTACTTGGAGAGTGCAGAGGGTGCAACACATGCATCCAATGCATTTCGAGAAGCATCATTAAACATCTCAATGGCTCACTGTTCAAAGGGCCATGGCCATGGAACACATAATGGTGAAAAAGAAACAATAAGCACCGATACAGACACTCATATGTAATCATATATTACACTGCCGACTGCCAATAATTTACAGATGTTAACACTTTAACACTAGAAGGAACAGATAACATTTGCCAACTGGTCGACCTATGCTTGGATGCTTGGAATTTGCCGTAGCAGACACCAGGTGCCTGACTCTTTGGCTCGGACGGCTTTCTGGGGATTCCACCCTTGAGGGGCGCTTCACGCCAAGGCCTGCAAATGCATAGCGAATGAGCAGGAAGCATCTGCAGTGCGCATAAAGAATGGAAAAAGATCCGTGACCAACACAGCACGCTGTGTGAGAATTGCCCACATGTATACAGTATATGTTCCTGTCTCCTTATAGGAATTCGAAGTGAATCTCTTTGCCAGGTCAACTGTGAGCTGATCGTCATACCCAATTGGGCTGAACATGTCGCGAGAGACGCGACACTTTGCTTGAAACAAGCTTTTGTCGGCTAATGCCGCGTGCTGAAGCAGTGGCTTGATTGGGCTAGGTCTTAAACATGATGTCGATGATTCAAAGCAGATCTGATGAAGAATGGTCCTGACTTCAGCCATTGCCGTACCCGCTGCGCGGATCGGGGACGGATCTCTGTTTTTTTCCCCAAGGCGTTGAACGTCGGAAATCCGAGGGATTGTCCTGGCAGTTCCTAGCATTTTGGAATCCAAATAGCCCCACTAGGGCAGAAGTGGCACAAGGGCATGGTACCAGGTCCCGTTCACTGGGGACGTGCCGTGCCCCCAATCAAATCCCAAGCACTCCCTCTGTCGCTGTTTGGGACCATAACCGCCCCATTGACGCCAGAGTCAACCATCCCAATGTATGGATTCATATGCCATGCATGGAGTGTTTGGGACGACTGGACAGGCGGTCGGTCTGTGACTGGACGACTGCCGTCGGCTGCAGCCGAGCGGAACCGGCGATGCTCTCGCCTGCCACACCTTGCCTTCGAGTCCTTGGAGTCTTGGGTCTGAATGAAAGGCATCAAGTATATATATATATATATACAGGTATCACTTGGGTCCGAACTTCCAACCTGTAACAGTCAGTATACGCAAAGGTAAGCAATTACATCACGAGTTTGAACCAGGCCTTTACTAACCTAACCATCATCATCCACTGTTACAGGTATTAGGATTATTAGGATAGACCCAAGGTATCACCAACTTCAGTTGGAATCGTTGAGGCTTTTTCCGAGTCCTCGTGACGTGACGGCGAAAATTCAATGAATTCAGGTCCATTCCTCGTGCCAAGCCTAGCAACTGATGTTTCAATGTCCAGGTTTTGCCTGCTCAAACGTAGATCTACGCTGGTTCCGGAAACCGCGATCGCATCGAAAGTGCGATCTGACCATGCTGCCGGGGTCGTGATCGAAGAACCATGGATAACCGTTCAACTGTCTTCTGATTGGGGAAGGTAACCAGGTGTGAAACAGGTTATATACCTAAAGATGGCTTATGAAGATGATGTATGGAAACAGCTGACTCCCGTCAGTCGAGACCGGTACGATCATAGACCGTTGGGAGAGCAGGAAGCCATTGGATAACACCTGTGGAAGAGAAAGATGAGCTTTCTATCGCCTGACCGCAGGGAAACAGGGAGGTGACATGCGGTGATCGATTTGCTTTGGTCGGGTTTGGTTGACTCTACAAACTTGAAGGAAGTCAGAAACTGATGGATCTCACCTTGTGATGCAAAAAAAACCCTCCGTGCCAGTGCCCCGTTACATTTCTTCTTCAAAGTGGACCTTCCAAGATCTTATACTTCTTCAGATCTGACTTTGGGAGCTGAAGGCATCCTGGTTTACTTGGTCGACCAGTGGAAACAGTGCGTTTTCAACCAACCACACAATCCTTCCAATCGGTGAACATTGGGTTCTTTGAGCTCTTAAACATCCAGGGAAACCGGCACCATCGCATTTCATGATCAAACATATGTACAAAGGTTCCATGTGCCGGAACGTTCAATCAGGACCGTTTCACCTGTTTCTCGTTAAAACCACTCGACGACGTTCGCTCGCGTTGTCTCGCCCCGTTGGACGAGCGGGCGCAGTTCGGGCAAGAAACCGGCGCCGGTCTTGCCGAGGCGATGTCGGACTGAAGTTGGTCCCCCTGCATAGAAGGGGGGATGACAACCCTCGACTGGTGATCAATCGCGAAGGATGTGTTGCCATGTCTCGTGCTGCCGGAGCTCCTGGAAGGGGAACTGCGTTCAAGAAGGGGTAAACAGATGCTAGTCATCACTAGTCATCAGTTCAACGGATGGATGGGGCAGACACGGCAGACACGCATTCATCAAGCATTGGAGTCTCTAATTAGAGTAAAACAACACCTGCCTTAGCGGCAAAGAGTTCAGCTGCGGAGATGCATGCGTGTTCGATCGCGTTTGGATTCAAAAACGAAGAATCATCTAAGAATCATTCATGTCAGATATTGTCAGATAAGGTTGGTTTTCGACAGGTTTGACCACATAGGTTCCGACAGCAAACCTTCCAGAAAAAGAGATGGAGGATGGGCAGATCGACCAAGTCGTCCTTCAAAGGGTGTGGCATGGGATGTCAGCCATCAGGTCCTATGACAATTTATGACCTTTTGCGACCTATAGCCTATAGATGATCAGTGATATGATCCTACATGCCACATTGCAAATGTGTTTTTTTTTTTCTCTCCGGGCGTCTCATACCCAAACACTCCATGTATGGAATAAACTTACTTACGCACCCCCAAAAGCAGCGCCGGTCCTGATGTACTTCCATCTGCCAGTACATTTGACGGTGTAAGAGGGCAAGCTTCGGTTGGCCGGCAGCGGCAGCAGCCGACCTTCATGGCGAATGCTGCCGGTGCTTTGGCTGCTTTGGGCACTTGGGGAGGCGCCTAGGGGATTGGTGCAGCCAGTGGAGAGATGTTGAAAGAGAGGTGCAGCCTTGGCTGGACGCAACTCAAGGTAATTAACAGAGTAAAGATCAGATGTGATCAGAAAAAGATGTGTCCATCAGACAGGCGGGCAGCAAAGATGTGTTGTTAATTAGATTGACAATAGATTTGAGAACTTCCAGATCTGCCAGTGATTTAGTGGCTGCAGCCATATCTCCTTAGCCTTTTTGTTGGCCTTTTCTCAGCCAATGCAAAGCGTGTGGCAACCAATGCATGTGATATCATGTGATCATGTGACTGCACATTTGTGTGGCAGTATGTTGCTGTACTAGGCCTTTCATTTTAGCCAAACTGCAACACAATAGAAACTTTGGCCTTTTGGGCCAACATGGAGCAGACGGAGCTTCTGTGGGCTTTGCTAGATGCTGGCCTTAAAGGCAATGGACTGGAATGGATCGACGGCATAAAGAAGCTCAATCTACATTCTGTGGATTGGAGCAAGCGACATGTTGCGGATGGGTACACCGTCCTGGTCCAATGCGTGAACATATTGCTGAGAGATCCCAGTGTTGAGCGCGCACTTTTTCCCATCATTCAGAAGCTCATTGGTCATGGGGCAAGTGTCTCGCAAAAGTGCGCAACAGGAGAATGGGGCTTTTCAACAGACGGGGTAACAGACAAAATTACTTAGATGAAGGTGGACACATCCGGTCACTCAGCCATTTCATATGTCCAGGCTTGGCTGCAAAGGTTGGACGACGGCGATTATGATTTCCGGGAACAGCTGTCCGTGGAACTAAGCTGCCTTACAAAGGTCCTTTGCTGTTTTGCTAGCACAGTCCCCAGCGCCGAACATGCAAGAGTCTCAGTGCATGAGGGCATCGTGGAGCTTTGGGAGAAGTATTTGGTGGCCAACACCTCACATGACTTGACCATCGAAGCGACTGATGGGGTCGTCACAGCTCATGCTCAGATGCTTAAAGGAGCATCTGCTGTGATAAGTGCTATGTTGGCGTCGCCAATGAAGGAAGGGCAAGCTCAACGCATTCAAGTCAAAGACGTTCCAAAGTGTGCAGTGTCGCTCTTCTTAGAGTAGCCCGGTTGCACTAAGGCTTAGGTGGAGATGCCGAAGCAAAAGCCTTAAAACACGCATGTGTTTTGAATATTCAGTATGCTGACGTGTGAGCTTTTAGCCTGGATAAATCCAGGATTCTGTACACCTGCTCCACACAGAACGAGCCGGGCTACAAGACCACCTTGCAGGCTTTGGACATAGCTCACCGATGGCAAGTGGATGTTGTGGTCACCATCCTCGGGGACTTGCTTCAAGGCCATGGCCGGAACTAGTTAGCTGATTCTTGCATCCCTTGCTTTTTCTTTGTATTGGTTGTCTGTTTGCGTGTCTCTTTGTTTGGTCGGGTTCAGGTGAAACAGATTCAGCTTTGACATTTTGGGGCTGGAGCCAAAACATGTGCAATTTAACATATAGACCCAGTTGTGATTATATAACTGTTAACCTTATTTTCTGAACAAATTTGCCAGGCTAATGTCCAGCAGTGTACGTGCTCAGAAAGATACATTGAAACTGCCTGGCCATTATTCCCTTAAGTGGCAAAGCTACATTTGCTGTGTTGGTGTTCCTGGGGTGTTCTGGATTCTCCACCACATGTTGGTACTTGCAAGCAGGCATGATCACCGATGCCAACTTCTCAGAGATTGCAGAGCAAGCTGTATTGAAGGCAAGGGCTTAAATGAAGAGGTGACAGAACCGGCATGAGGCATGTTCTCCATAGGCCTGGTATGAATCGCTACCAGTCATCAGATCTCCGTTGCCATGGTTGGTTTCTATTTGCCGCATGCAACGAAAACAAGGATGACAATGACTTCCTGCGTGGCGTTGTACTGGACAGTGGCTGGTTACGGGCATTCATTCAAAGATGTTCAAAGGATTGTTTTTGCGGTTTCGCGATTGAAGTCTGGCCTGGCACTGCTGCAGTTTTGCGAGCCGCCCAGAATTCCCCCACCAAGCACTCAGCCGGTTTCGGGCTCTCCGGGAACACCTTCGCACTGAGGGCTTGGAGAATTTGAAAGCCACTTCCCAGAAGTTTGGAGCTGAATCTCGTGCTGTGCAGGCTGCCGGGAACGTGCTTGCTAAGAGGCATTCGATGGGATCAAAGGCAATTTAGTGGGGCATCCTTTGATCCATGACGATTCTCCGGGAGGATTAAAGGCAATTTCGGTAGGATTCTTTGGGCTCAAAGAACTTGTTTGGCGCGATGGTCTCGCATTGAGCTGGGAGTCTGGGAGATGCTCTTTTCCTCTCCGCGTGCGCGAGCGTTTAGCTGGACATGGCCGGTTCGTGTTTGCGAGTGGCAGCACTTGGCCCTGGAGATGTGACATAATGTGTCAATGGGACCTCTAGAGTCTATAATTTTTTTTCATGTGTCAAGCATTGCACGGGCTCACTGCTTAGCTTGCAGCTTTCGGAAGCCACGTTGTTTCATTCATGCATCGGTTCAAACATGTTTTGGCTATTGGTAAGAGCATGTCGCACGCTGTGACCAGCATTGCGTCAGGTGTTGGAAGTTGCTTCTTGTGTGTATTTCCGGTGTTTGTTATTTTTTTCCTTGCACCTTTTCTTGTCCTTGCCCCCCTCAACTTCTTGTTCAAATTTGCATTCCTCAGTCCTTTCTGAAAGCTGTTCCTCTCGAAACATTTGGTTGGCTGGGCGTTCCATGTTTTGTAGTCATTTCTTGTCAACCAGGCTCAGCTCAAAGGCGGCCATGTTCCAGCTTTGGTGCAGCAGCTCTTCCCGTCCGCAGCTCCCTCCGAGCAGAAGCAGAGTCGGAAGCGGCGTCGGCTGTGAGGCAGCGAGAGAGTCCCGGAGGGCATAGATGTCAAGCCATGCCCTTAAATTCTTGCAGAAGTGTCTTGGGAGTATTTGGGGGTTGTTTTGATAATATGTCTTGAAAAGCCGCATGTTGCCCCAGGGAACAGACTGTATTGGTTTGTGTAGATGCTGGTGGTAAAGTGTTTGTCTATTTGCCGGACTACGCTTCATCGCGTTGTGATTTGATGGACATTTGGAGCGCGTAGTCTTAGCACAGAATTACACAGTACACATATGATCACAATATGTACTGTAATGTAATTGTATAATTATATATATATACATGTAATGAATGAGAGAGGTTGCTTGACACAGGGGCAAGAGGCTAAATTGACGATACTTGTACCTTGAAAGGAAGATTGAATTTGGCTGTACATAGTATACAGTCAAAGTGCTTTGTCAATTTGTTGTGGTCCTTTCCCTGGTGCTTCCTTCATGCTTGCCAGGGCCATGTGGCCATGCGCATTTTCTTGCGTCAGATGGATGGCATTGACACGGGTGGCTGCGGCACTAGCTGGCGGAGTGGCCTTCGGGGAGTCGGTTCACTTGGCGATGTGGATGACCGTTCGTGCCACGTTGCGCACGCGCCGGGTGAGAAAGATCACGCGTCGCCAGTGGGCTATCTCTCTGAGAAACAACTGGAGTGGCACCTTTGTATGACATGCGCAACCTGATGGTATTGGTAGGTGTTGGTAGCTTTTGTTGGAGGGCGCCAAGTCGTGTGGCTTTGTTCCCGTCATGAGCATGGTGTTCATCGAAACTGGGGATGAACACGACAAGTCTGCGTTGAGTCATACCTCATAAGAATTCATAAGATGCGTTGAGTGAAGTGAAGTTGTTTTTTCTTTGTGTTCTTTAAATTTGATGCATAAGCAAGTGACATGACTTCCCTGCACCCAGTTCGTGTGAGTCTTTCGGTGTCGTGGCTCAGATACCGCCAGTCTGCCAGACCCGGCCAGGCGAAAGACGAAGAGGCCTCCGCAGCGGCTGGGGCGGCTTCTTACTGGAGGGGCACACGGGTGCGACAAGAGGAGGAGCAGCGGCCTTGGTGGCGGTGAGACACAGCCTTAGAGATCGCAAGCACATAGCCTCAGCCAGGTGCAGGGGGGGTGAGAAATGAGTAGTTCCCAATGTGTGGGTTGCAGGCCTGGTTTTTTCTTTCGGGAATGGTTTCTCTCCAAGTAGATATTGATGTTCAATACAACAGGGTATGCATGTGACTGTGTTCTTCTTTCGCTTGCTACAACCACCCATGAGGCACATGGAAGATTGGACAATCCACCTACAAAGTCATGTTCCGTGTTGCTGCTGGCACTGGGGTGCATCCTCATTTAGGTGCCATTGGCGTAGACCAATGGCTGGTCTGGGGTAAGGCTGGTGTCCCTTAGCCTGCTAGAAGGAGGTCTGGCAGACCATCCAGGGCTCCGATGCGGCCAGCACCGAGGTTAAACCTCCCGGCTCCCCAGATTCAGATCGACGCTCCGCGGCAAGACGGCGAGACGGTCTCGAACCCGCATGAAGCCACAGACGGTGGTTCGGACGACGTATTGCAGTGAAAGAAAGGTCAAATGTATTCAAATGTATATGTTTTGTTGATGTTATTGATGTCCATGTCAATAATCCTTAAAGAAAGGCGGTGCCAGATAGGTGCTTTTTCTTACATAATAGTATAGGTGTAGCTTGCTTCATGCGGGGGTCGTTTGGCCAGATAGTGTCGGTCCAAGGTTCCAGAGGGAAACAGACGTTTGTTCATGCAGGCTCCCACCCTCGCTTGTAGAGAATTCTTCTGGTCTGCCGGTAGCTGTTGCTTCTAGAAGCAACATGAAGCAACTGAATGATGGCAAATGGTGTGGGCACATTTGTTCATTGAGACAGGCCGAAGGCTACCTGCTCTTTGCCTGGTTGTGCCATGGTTGGTCAGTCCGACCATGGCACAGGCAAAGAAAGGATAACCCCAATCAATTCATCACCTGGTTGGGAAGTGCTCCCATCATTGCCTCCGCATCTCTGGCCGCTCCGTGCTCGAAAACCATCACTTGCTCCGAGGGGGAGAATGGCAGCATGTCTATCGAGTACGATGGCTATGACCTGGTGCAAGAATGCCTGGAGTACTACGTGGACAAAAGCGGCTAGGCAGATTCTCTGCACGGCTGAGACCCCGTGGTTTTCGGTCTACAAGCAGCTGTTGACCTGAACCTATTCGCAAGCCGCAATTGAAGATGACAAGCTGACATGCGGACATCCTTCCAACCTTAATAAGTGCCAAACCGAATGACCGTATTCCGGCCCACCACGTGTTGGATCGAATGACGGTCTCCACTGGTCCCCGCATCCCCACTAAAATGACGGTCTCCACCAGGTTACCATGTGATGAACTGTGTTTGGCCGGCTCTCTACCGAGTCTTCTCGGTCGAGACCGAGGCCTCGAGGCGCGGAACCAACGCCGGGTCTACGAGAAGGAGCTCCACGCGCTGAACCAGCGCGTCGCTCGACCGGGAGTGTCCCAGGGGGTGAGAACGGGAGGTGGCATAAGCCACGGATCTCCTCTTTGTTGCGTAGTGACTGCCACTTAAGCGAGATGTTTGCATGGTTTCAGCATGTTTCAGCCAACTATACTTTTACAGTGAGTATTTCGGGTGGTTTGCTGTTAGGAGTTGCTCGGACTGCCACCCAGTGGCAGGATGTCGGGATGTTGAGCAGGATTTGGTCGTGGGGTGACGATAGTGCATATACCAGCACTCCAGGCGGTTTATAGACACACCTGACTAACAATTTCCCCTGGTGCAATTATTGTTATTTTGAGTCTTCCTAAGAGCGACAGTCCAGAAACTGGGTTGCCAATGTTTCAGCCATTGATTGAAACAAAGGCCATGTATTTAGTAAGGAGCTCTTAGGAGTGTAGGGACGATTGCCACGATTGTTCCCCTCCACCAAGACAATTCAACCTTCCTATAGTCCCGAACGCAGCTCCCAGGGTGTTTCAAATCCCTAGCAGCAAGATAAGACTTGTCAAGGGTCGACGATTCGACCCCACAAGCAGAAGGAAGAGCACTCCTGCTTCATCCTGAACAGCGAACTAATTGAGCAGAGTTGTTGATTTATATCAGGCTTGGCGTAGGCACCAATGAAATGTCAATACCTTACATCAGAAAAAATCCAACAATCTATTGATAATTATGGAGCCAGCTGGTTTCTTCCATTGCCTCCAGCTCAGGATAGCTCCAGGTTGGATCAACATGATCTCAGAGCTGTGATGGTCTACTTGCTCATGGCCCCTCAGCAGCACGAGTCGGTGGTCAAGCAGTGGCAGTTGACTTGATTGATCCGATTGAGCGGTCAATCAAACCTGCATGAACATGCCAGGTCTCCTTGGGGCACAGCCAATGTAATCAAACTTCCAATCCACAAGTTGTTTTCAAGATGTGCAAGGCCTTGGCAACGTGTGTAATTGTTTGAGCCCCCCGTCACGTGTTCACCAATGATGTATGCAACAAATTCAATGGCAGTCGCTGTATGATGAAGTGCACTTGGCTGTATTTTGGGATGCTGTATAATAACATGGACATTGCGCAGCTCGGTGAGTTTGTGAGTCGCACACGCAAACTCTAAAAGTGTGGATGGACGCTGCAAGTCCCCAAGGCCACACAATGCTGATGCTGAACATCGGCCCCCCATAAAACCGGTCCGTGAAACGCTTGGTGTGCCAAACCATGCGGCCAGCCGTACCGAGAAGGCTTGACCAGTCACCGGGAAGAGCGGGCAGCGGATCGACCCTTCACAGCCACGCCAGGAGAATGCGGATCGTTCCCTTCACAAAGACTTGGGCCTGTCCTTGCGATGTTTGGCCCGATTCTTTTGGCACTATCCCGTGGTCACTCGGCCAAAGGAGTAAGCATGAAACCACATGAAATCGTGAGGGTATTTGCATGCGTTGCCTTTTGGATCCTTTTGGTTCTTGCGCGCGGGCAACAACGCCACGCCACGCACGAGTTGAGGTCATCTTCCACACCAATGGCAGCACCCAGGCAGAGCTTGCCTGGCTGAAATCCTTGGCGCCACCACACATGAAAGTCTCGTTCGAGGAGGCGGGAGCCTGTGCTGTCACGTGCTCTCTATGTCTTTGTTCGAGACTGTCGTGACTGCTCCTTTTTCTTTTTTTCTACTCTACGAAAGTCCTGAGAGGAAAGGACTATGACTATACTCGCAAGTGATGTTAACGTAGTCACGCGTCCCCCTGTTTGTGGCACGCACCTGGGGGAAGTCGCATGAGCGTGGAAACTGCATTCTCGAGATGCACTGTAACTGCCAGATGGGTCGATGCTAGGTAGCCTTAGGCTTCCCTGCAGAGATCTTGAACTTCCCAGGAGGGTCAGGGACTCCCAGGAATCAGCGATCCGAATCCATTTGACGCTGGTTCGAGGTCAGTTCCACAGATGAAGCAAAGGTAGACAGAAGGTCTGCCCAAGAACAGGGGGTGGATTGAACTGAGCATGTTTGACTTGCGACTTTCTTCCCATCCACCTCTCCCCCATTGAAGGTGGAAGTCTCAAGTTTGAAAAAGCTAAGTCTTCCTGTTTATCAGTGCAAAGAACAGTTTGATTTGTTTGCAGATGTTGAACCCCCTTCACCTATCTTCAGCTGGAGTGTTTACAGCTCAGGAAGCTGTAGAGCTGAGGCCTGATGCCTTCCTACAGCCACCCTTGTGCATGCTGGATGGCAAGCATTGGCCTGGAAGCTCGGGAACTTCACCTGACTTGAGAAAAGCCATACGATGTGCTCATATGGTTCTCATGGTTCAATAACACCCCCTTGGCTTTTGAACTCCTTCTTAAACAATATGGGCTAACTTTATCTAACTTTGGCGTACTTGGATTTCCTCAGATTCAGTACATCTATGATTCTATGATCTTTGCCTAGACTCCAACTATGCCAACTATCGGAACCCCATCCCAATCATTTTTCGGATCCACCGAGGGAACCATCGAGGGAAGCCCATCAGACCCCACAAACCGCTCCGTTTCCACCGAGGTGGACGAGCCATCGCACCTGTGGCTGTCGTTGTCCCGCTTGGCGGCCTCAATGCTGGCCGTGCGCCCGGCGGCGCTTAGCGGACTGAGATGGTGACAGGTGAATGGATCATGCCGGGGGGACCTCTCCAGGTGGATCAGGGGGGATCGCACCTCAGTGTGATCGGGTGAGGTGCAAACCGATAGTTGGCATAGCTGGAGTGGGCATTTTAGGATCGGTCAAGCCGTGCATGGGCGAGTTGGCGCTGCTGTGGATCTTCCAGGTGCTGTGGATCAGTGGGACGGTCCAGCCAGCACGACTCGTCAGTGATGTTGTTTCTGGAAGACACTGGACGTGTTTGCGGTGGCTTGCTATACATTTACAGTATGTATCAGTATGTTCAATTTGGTTTGGTCTGGGACTACTCCTTGCAAGCTGGAGATGCTATTAAGTGTGTCTTCAAGAAGCGGTGCATCAGCACAAGATCCAGTAAGCTAAGCTATGAGCTGCATAAGCTTCTTATCATGTCTTATCATCCATGACCCCGTTGGGTTCAATTCATCCACATCAACATCCACAATTCATGGGATGGTCGCCACGGTTGCAGCATGCTGCATCTTGAAGGATCAATGACATGTGCTGGGTCACAAGTCATGTTGAAGGATCAAATCAATACAACACGATTGTCTCAAGATGATGAACGCCACAAAAGGCTACCACACCAAGTAGAAGCAGCCCGGAAGGATGGAACATTGGAACGAAGCACACACCAAGTAGAAGCAAGATTGCAGAACATGATTGTCCATTTGGGATAGCTTGGCATAAGTCTTGGTATAAAAGAGGGCAGGTGCAAGCAGAAGCTTCCGAAACAAGGGTTTCTCCCAGCAAAAGGAAGGACCGATCTTTGGTCTGGCCCAAGGCCCAGGGGACGCTTAGTCAACACAGGAATGCTATTGTTGGCGCAAGCGCGTATTGTTCATCAACATGGAGCGCTTGTTGCATGGCTTTGCCCTGGCTGCTCTTGCTGCTGCGGCAGATGACGGCGAATTTTGGCATGAACAGTTGGAGGATCAAATATCACTAATGGCTATGAACACCCCACCAAGGGCAAACAATGTTCGTGAATTACCCTCCCACCAACAGTCATGGAAGTGGAAAATGGCCCCTGGAAAGACCATGAAACCCATGGGCAGTTGGAGGGAGGGTAGAGGAGGAGAAGCATCAAGTAATAAGCGACCGTGTGGCGCATAGTAGTGGCCCGAAAGTGCTGGCGCACGACCATGTACTGAACCATCCATCGTTTCTTCTTCTTTTGTCAACCAACAAAAATGCAGCCCGGGTGGGGTCGGCCAGCATGGCACATAACCAAAGTCATAACCTGAGTCGCCTCCAGTTCAGCCTCAAGAGGGTGCTAGTTTCATTTTCTATCTTCGAACATCAACTGTGCCTATGCATGACCACACTGTTTCTTCACAGCTGATGCCATAAAATCACCGAAGAAACACGGAATCTTCAACCGGCACCAAAGATTTCACAAATGCTAACATGTCTATCATGGGAGTCTTCATCTTTGTGTTTTGGCTGGAGCAAGGTTCCCCAGCCTCAGTGTGAAATGACAGGTTCTCAGTTTCTCCTTCAACTCCGTTTGAAGGCTTCATCATGTTTGAACACCTGTGCGTAAGCCCAACGTCTGGACACTCTAGTTTTAACCTGTTTTTATAAACCATACCTTCAATTTCAACAAAACGTGTGCATGTTCGTCCTCAGATGTTCAAAACGATTGCTGAGGTTCTGGCTCACTATCGTACCTTCGATGCCCCTTCTTTGACCGCCCCTTGGTCGAGACGACCGGGGCGGACCGGTGGACCGGACGGGGACAGGAGCGGCCTATGCCCCACCGCTGGAGCTTCTGCCAATTCGGGGCCAGGCAGTCCGAAGTCAAATTGGAGTTTGACAGAGGTCCTTCTTGGTCACCAATGGCAGGGTTGTACAATGTTGTACCTATACTGCTTGATAGTTATCCTATGTTTCCCTCATAGATAGAAGATGAAGCGTGAAAACAGAATGCATGTTCCTATATAATATATGACTTCCCCCATGTCAATTGTATATAATTGGAATTTGGTTTGTTTCTGCCAAATGATTCCGGCATTTGGCCTCCACCGTGCCCACCGTGACGGCACTTCTCCACCGAGGACACCAGCTACGAGGAGGTTCGAAAGTGGCCCGGCAGCCGAAAGGGAGCCTCCTGGGTGGGGTGACGACCTTCTGAGCCATGTTGACTGTTGACTGAGAGCAACCCTCCATTGTATGGAGAAAATGGAGATGGTTTGACCCAGGTAAGGTAGGTATGTTGCTTTCTAAATCAACAGTCCACATTGTCCAATGTACCATACATATGCCAATGCCTATCCGTTTGGCATGTCGAACCGGAGTGTAAAGACTGCTTTCCCAAGAGAAGTGTAGGACACTTAAAGCCTTATGAAGGATATGCAGGTCAGATGCAAAAGGTGTCCAACCCGGAAGACCAGAAAATATGAAGGAAGCTTTGGCATACATTGGTTGCTGATGGAAACACGTTATAGATGAGACCCCAAAAGGGAGTTTCCTTCCAATTCTTGTGCAGTTTATCGCAAGATGCAATGCAAGAACTGACCATGTGTGGCATGTTGGAGATGCTTCTCATCTCCGAGAGTGTGCTGGAAGGCAGCTACTTGGTCCGGGGCCCCCTAAGGGGTCGTAAATGGATACCCCTTGACCTCTAGGAGCTGTAATTAGACACAAACAGGGGGCCCTGGTATTGATTCATGCATTGATTCACCCATCTTCACCCAACTATCACCTGCCCTGCTTGGACCCACCTGAGCTGAAAAGAAGCAGCGAACACCGGCTCCGCAGGGGAGAACCCACGGCTTTCTCTCACCGAATCCACCGCTCCGCCAGGTACCTCTTGGAGGGTCGTCCCTTCGTGATCACCGACGGCGCCCGTGGGCTGCCCATGTCTGTGCCCGGTCTGGGATCGTTAACTTCGGTTGGTCCGCAGTAGGTGGTGACCAGTAGGTGGTTTGGTTCGAATGCGCTGATGCTTTGGTTTGGTTTGCGTGGTTTGTTGTTTTTTTGGGGGTGCTGATTGAGGAGGGGGGCGTCCTGAAGGGTGGGGATCAACTTGATCAACTGGGATAAACTGCGTTCACCGGAGTTTGGCCACAGCATGCCGGAGCGAATGTCAGCCTTCAGTCACATGCAGCTCCCAGCGATCGTTTGATGGATGCTATGGGATGCATAAGGGACACGGTTGCTCCACATTGTGGGCATTCAATCGCATTCGTCAAGCCGGCACCCAGCGTACTCCTCCTAAAGGGGTGTGGTCTCAATTGAGTAAAGTTGTAAAGAAGACAGATTGAGCCAATGACTTGCAAGTTGATACCCTAGGGCTCCAACCATATCCTCAGAAGGTGGTTAGACCCCCCAAACCCACCATAGCCACCTTCTCGGGAGGTAGTTGGAGCCCTAGGCCCTAGGAATAAACAGATTGGCCCTTGGCCTTTGTTGCAGACCTTCCACCGTGTTTGCATGGAGGCTACATTGCAAGCCGTTTTTAGAGTTCAATGAGGGTATGACTGCGGGATTTTGGCACGCAGCCCATTCCAGATTCTAGATAGACTGCAATGGCAATGAATGCCAAACTCAAATGCTGCTGGTGCTGTCTCAGCCCAGCCCAGAGCCTAGCAAAGAATGTTAGTTGCTCCAAAGAGAAGTAGATGAGTAGTCCTTGAGTCCCTGCTGGCTTTTGAATGAACATCATTGACAATCATTATGATTCTGATATTGTGATCTACTACAGACGCTACAGATATTGGTTCTGTGATTTTCAGTGCAGAAGAAAATCCAATGAGTCATCTGCAGGTTTCCACCATGCAATAGCGCAACAAGTCCCTCCTTTCGCGCCACTGCTGACTAATATTGATCACTTAAAAGTCCACCTTTGATGGGTATGATCTAGAAGTTATATAGGTGGAAAAGGACAAAGACACACCCAAACCATGGTTTGGGAGTGCTGATGGCTTCATGCCGCCATGGAGCAAGCCACCATACACCCGGATCTCCTAAGACAAGATGCTGCTGAGGGGACCGAGGACCGCGGAGTTTTCACACAGCTGGCCGATCCCAAGCGTTTGGCATGTCACCTGCCGGTCTATCGGAAGCTTTGCTGCCTGGGCCGTGGAGCCTTTGGGAAGGCCTACCTGGTGGAGGTGGTCAAGGGCCGCAAGGAGGTCCTCCAGCGCGTGCTGAAGAAGCTGCCCTTAAGCGAGGTCGGCGAGACCCAACGAGAGGCGGCCTTTCGGGAGGCGCAGCTCATGCGGAAGATCAGTCGAAATTGCCCTTGGATTACGCAGTTTCATGAGGTCTTCACCTGCCAACAGGGCGAAGTCTTGTGCTTGATCATGGAGTACTGCTCCGGTGGGGACCTGCGCAGCGCCATCCGGAGCCACCGAGACGAAGAAGAGCAGTTTTCGGATGGGCAGGCGAGAGACGGTGCTTTCAGAGCACCAAATGTAAGCCATGAGATGAACGCATTTCGTCATGTCGTTTCGTCATCTTTGAACTAAGCAGTGTTTGAGGTTTCGACAGTTGTGATAATGGGTGTTCGCATGTGTTTGCCTTTGAGTCGCCTTTGATTCGACCATTGGAACGATTTTTTTATGCCACCCGAGTGGGTGGCGGCTGGCGCCTTTGAGGTCCTCCAGTGGGCTGCGCAGCTGGGTTTGGCCCTACAACACTGTCATGCGCGAAGCGTGTTGCACCGCGACGTGAAGCCGGAGAACTGCTTCTTCAGATCTCAAGGCGCCACGGAAGTTCCAGTCGTGGTGCCCGCAACAAGCTCAAACGGGTGACATGAGCAAATTGGCATGCCAGTAGGTAGTAAACGGCAACCACTTGCACTTAGCAACTGTCAAAACAAAGGCTGAGCTGCAACAACTTGGCGTGAGCCTTGTCGTAATGCTCGGCACCATGAAGCTGGGCAAACATCCGCAGCTTCAGTTGATAGCGTTTTGGAGCTGTGAAGATCCCTACACTTG